TCACTGTGTGCACACAGACTGGCCTCTGCAAAAGGAAACAGCCTTGGCTTTGGTATTTCCAGCATCTCAAGTACTAAACTAGACACAGACAGATGTTAATTCTGCAGAATAGCCATCTAAGTCAATCGCTGCCCGGTATCACCTCAATTCTGCCTTTTCTAATGCACCTACAGTTAATTTTCTATTAGAGATGGAGCTGGCAGACCCTCTCATTAAATACACACTTTCAGGTGAGACCCCCCAGGCACTATTACTCACTGGAATTAAACAGGTACACCAGGACTGGTGGTAAAAATAAAAATAGCCCCAGCTCTGGGCACGCCAGGGAAGGCAGCAGCCTTCTGTGCACAGCAGCAAAATCAACTTAATCACAAATGACAACTTCTGAAAGCCTTTACTTTGGATTCATCCTTGGCATTTTTCTAGGCCAGCTTGAAAACAAAAGCTTTGTCTTCTTAAAATGCAATTGCCTGAGGCACCTCTAAAAAAAGTGACATAACTCAGGTTTGAAAAATGCCTCCTGGGTTTCAGATCCTCCTAAGAGCCTCTTTACTATTCAGCTTGATTCAGATTACCCAGATCAGCATGAACTCTGCAGATTTAGCCCCAGCTACCAGCACAGGTATAAAATGCACACATTTAGGATTATTTTTTTAAACTATATGATTAAAGCTCTACAGTTATGAAAAAAAAAACTTGTTATTGATCTGAATGGTTGCTCCCTTCCTTTTCTCCAGCAGGTTTATAAACACACTCTGATGACAGTTTATTCTGAATTTCACTCTATTCAGTTTCTTCCAGATTTTTTTTTCCCCAGCCTGTTTTTCTTGCTGGGTATTTTCAACCTTTCCATCACAAACCTCAAGCTGTGAGAAGAATGAGCAACTTGTTTTGGAATCACAATTTGAGCCTAAAATTTGATTCTTGTTTCTTCTCCCCTGCATAAACCCTTTTTATTTCAGTAATTTTACGAGCAGTGACTCTGTGCTTCTGCAAATCCAGGAGCACAGCCCTGTGCCAGTAACTTGATGGGAGGGGGCAAGGAAGGAAAAGCTGCAATTTTCTGAGACAGACACAGCTACTTCCAGTGCCTACAATTAACACCTTGGATAAATCCACAGTACCTTTAGCATATCACAGATTTTTAAACCCATAGGCTGTTTTCTTTGAGCAGGTTCAAATTTACTGCTAGGTTTGAAAACTCCTTATGCAGCCACCAGTGAAGAAGTTAAATCAAAAGGAGTTTTGTTGCTTTCACTGAATGACTTGGGACACAGAGAGCTGTAAGCTGTCTTGGTGATGGCAACACGTTAGAGTCTTTTTCTGAATGATCAAGTCCCATCACTTACTCCACATAAACTGTTCTCTGTCAAGAGCTTTAATCCTCTCTTTTCAATCCCTAAATAAAACATCCTCCCCAAACTCACTGTCTATTATCAGCCATTTCTAAAGAAAGTGGCTCTTAAGAGACACACCTCTTTCTGCTTTGCCGTTCTCCTGAAATCCATCTCCAACATCAGCCTGACAGAAGTGAAAGAGCAGCAATCTTCCCCGGCTCAGAGAGCTGGAGGAGTGTCTGAACACCCTCCCCTCTCCAAGGAAGCTTTCACACGCGGCCAAAACCACAGAAAGGCTTCCAGGAACGGCAGCAATAAACCTTGTGACAAGCTGTCAGCCAGAGCCGGCAGCCCAGGAAGATGCTCCAGGGTCACACAACTGAGGTTCTGCTTGTGGAACTGCTCCTCAGCTTCCATCCCTGCATCCTGGAGCTCACCTGGGAGCCAGGCTCCTTCCCTGTCCTTTACAACAATGCAAAGAGCCCAGATCCCAACAAAAAGCAGGGGAAAATGAGCATCCCAGAGCTCACTCGGAAGCCAGGCTCCTTCTCTGTCCTTTAGAACAACGCATAGAGCCCAAATCCCAACAAACAGCAGAATACAGAGCAAAATGAGCATCCCAGAGCTCACTTGGAAACCAGAATCCTTCCCTGTCCTTTAGAACAGCGCAAACAGCCCAAATTCCAACAAACAGCAGGGAAAAGGAGCTCACCTGGAAGGCAGGCTCCTTCCCTGTCCTTTACAACAATGCAAAGAGCCCAAATCCCAACAAACACAGGATAAAGGACAGGGCAAAATGAGCATCTCGGAGCTCACCTGCAAGCCAGGTTCCCTCTCTGTCCTTTTAAACAATGCAAAGAGCCCAAATCCCAACAAACAGCAGAATACAGGGGAAAATGAGCATCCCAGAGCTCACTTGGAAGCCAGGCTCCCTCCCGGTCTTTTACAAAAATGCAAAGAGCCCAAATCCCAACGAGCAGCAGAACAAAATGACCATCCCCGAGCTCACCTAGGAGCCAAGCTCTCTCCCCGTCCTTTAGAACAATGCAAAGAGCCCAAATCCCAACAAACAGCAGAATACAGGACAGGGCAAAGGGAAAGCGGCATCTCGCATTCTCTGTTGAAGGGAGACCCGGAGCGGAGGCACCTGCGGGAGAGCTCAGCCCTCCTCCCGCAGCACGGCCAGTTCGGAGGGGCA